GGAACATAACAACGCTACAGTTCAAGCAATTTATTTAAACAAGATGATGGCTTCACACCAGCAGGGTAAACTTCCATCAGTTTTCCTGCCTTTCCCCCAGCTCACCCGGGGAGCCCAGGGCAAGCACCCCAAACTGTTTTGATTGATGTGCTGTGAAATCAGCCCTCCCTGCTCCAGACACCTGCCACTGAAGCAGCTACCTTCCCCACTGCTGGTTCTCAAGGTCTCTAGACACTGAGACCTGTAAGAATAAATATCCAGGAGACAGCAGCTGTGACCCATTTATTACCGGATGCTGCTGCAGGGCACAGCTGAGGAAGGCAGGGCAGAGGAAAAGCACTTGCTGCAGAGGGAACAAGCAGAGCAAATCCAGGTGTCCTTGGAAGAAGCACTCTGCTTGCAGCACTGCTCCAGCTCTGTTTCTCCAGCTCCCAGTTGGCAAGAGACAGTTTAGATCAAGCATGGATGTTCAAGTACTGCCATGAGGGCTCCCCTCATATCACTGCTGGGAGGCAAAAAACAAAACAAAAAACCCACAAAGAAGGCCCACAGAGGCCGGAAGGCAACCATGGACAGAGACGCCACAAGAGCCTCATGCACTGAACAAGCCGATAAAACTGAACTAGTGCAGGCAAATATATCTGGAAAGATCCGTTTTGACAATAAAAATCACAGATACCTTCACCCAGAGCAGGGGGTGCGCACACACATGCGGCACAGTCCGGAAGGAGAAATGCCGAGGAGGGAAGCAGAGCACGTACACTAGCAGCACAAAGGATGGCACTCCAGCCTACAGCTGAAGAGGGCCAGGAAGGCAGCAGTGCACCGAGGCAGACAGGATCTACATCAACACTTATCAGTTCAGCCTTTGCATTTGCCGATTAAGTTCTGCTGGCACTGAGCAATTGTACATGTCCTCAGACTACCTCCTCACCCCCCTGCACAGACTCCCGCAGCTGCAGCCCAGCCCTGCTCTGGTCACTGGGTATTCTGATCAGAGCGTCAGGCTGGGGTGACATTGTCCCCTCCTGAAGAGGGACGGTAAGCGCCTGCAAGCCCGCTCATTTTATTCACTGCACAAGCACGTTTCCAACTGGGATAATCTCCATTAAACCATCTGCGCTCCCATCTTCGCTCGGCCTGTACCCGCTGGGCTGCCTGCGATACTGCAGCATCTGTGAACCGGCAAAAGCGGATGCCACGTCCCTTTCCCAATCACCTAAAAAACCAACAGAGACTCAGACAGAACAGATGCACCTGGTAGCTTTGACACGCTACTGAGCCAGGCCACCAGGAGTACCTGTGCCAGTGCCTCTTCTGAAAGGCATACGGTTCCCCCTGAGAACTTAAGCCATTTCCTTTCCATCATGGGAAGACACCATACCCCAAATTGCCAGAAGAGGAGGGCTGAGAAGGGAGTAGAGGTTTTAGTTACAACGGCTGCCCTGGTGCAGAAGAGAAGTGCTGTTTGCCAGGTCATGAATGCATTTTGGATCAGACACTCTGAATTGCTGCTGATCCCCAGGATTTAATCTCTTATTTATCTCAGTATCTGCTTTCTAGAAACAGGGACTATTATGTCACATTCCTACGTCACTGGAACATAAAGACATGAAAGTGTTATGATGAGAGATCTGAAACTTAAATCCACTGCTCCTTCCCCACAGCCTACACAGAAGATGCCCAGCTGACCTTACAGAAAGCATGATAAAGCAACTGCATTGGAGTGTGAATTCAGTGCAGACAGAACTCGACCCTGTCCTTAGCATTGCCATCGAGACAGCCAAGGGACTCAGGAGTCACTTCAGCTGTCGAGAACATGACAGCATTGTGACAGATCTGAAGCAAAGATAGAAAGCCATCGATCTGCTTTAACTGTAATCAGTGCTTGCCTTCAACAAGGTCGCTGGGCCATCTAACACATGCCTTTCTTCCAGCCGATTTGCCCTGCATGGTCTTGCCCTCACAGGCGTGGAACAGCACGGCAAGGCTCGCCTTTTAAACCTCCCAGGACTCTTATGGCCCCAAAAAGGAGGCAAATATTAGCAGCAAGTGATGGGACAGGAGCAAAAGCTATTTCAGTATTTTCTGCACTTGCCTTCACTTATTTATTTTGCAAGCTTTTATTTTCCAAAGCAATTTACAAACAAGAAGCAAGATAACCATTTGTTCAGACAAAGGTTAATAGGGGCCTAGTGGTCTCTGAAGACTGCAGTCACACTTAGGTGTGAAATTTTGGAGTAGCAATAAAGATGCTGCACAGACAAGCAAGTCTCAAGAGAAGGATTTAATCTGTCTAAATATTCTCATTATGTACACAGTTTTCAGCTTCCATTCACAGCGATCAGAGCAGAGACAGCTTCCAGAGGCCTTTTTTGGACAATAAACCGTGAAATAGGATTTTTACATCAGTCATTATTCCCTTCTCCACCCCCAGCTGCAAGAGTCAACGTTTGAAATGGTTTTTGTTGAAAAGAAGACATTGTGTTGGGAGAGAAAGAGTCGACAGGAGGAAGGCAGCACAGATCTTTGGCAGACTGGTGGTACTTGGCACAAGACAGCTCCCATTGGCACCATTTTCCCAGAAAACCTCAAATAGATTATTTCTCCTGGTAGGCCAAAAAAGGCTTTCTGTGGAGTCATGCACAGAGTAAGAAATATAAGACTACATCCGGAGACCTGCTTCACTGGAGCAGGCAAGAAGAGGTTCCAGTTGCATCCACCCATCTTGTTCCTAAAAGTCACTTAAACCTAAATACAGTACTAGGATGAGATGAGAAAACTAGAGGCCGGCATCTAGGACAAAACGGCTGATCCAAAAACTCAGCTGCTTTCTTTTGGGATCGCAGTGTCCATCTGTCCCCTTGCCACAGGGGAACTTAGCCTGCAAAAAGAGACCTTGTTTGTCCACTGAAACGTGGAACCTGAATTATTCCAACAAGCAAAAATTCAAAAAAGAAAAAAAGTCAAGAAAACAGAGCAAGTTCTCTATGGGTATGATCCCCTGGGACCAAAAGAATAGCTGTGCTCTTGATGCATCTCACCCCTTCTCACTTTTGTGTTGCCTTTTCCCCTTCAGACAGGCAGGTTTCAGCTTTTCTTGCATGTTCAAGACTCCACTTCTATACACAAGAAGCTTGGACAAAATTTGTAGCGATAGTTACAGCGTTTTGCTATTAAATTTTTTGCTTGAAGTCAAGCAACTTCCTATCCCTTCCCTCCCACACCCAAGTTTCTCTCAGAAAATTTAAGAGCTTTAACTACTGGTCACTAGCTGTCCACGTTGCAAACAGGACTGCAGGGGAAAAATATTAACCAGCAGAGTCTCTTTAGAGGCAGCCCAAACTTGAAGACTGTGTCAGTGCTGTGGGTCTGAATGTTTTATAAATTATTACATCTCTTATCGCTCTCTAGGGAAGTCATCATCATTTTTGTTTTCTGCAGAATAAAAACACACAGGTCAAGCAGAGAGTGGGGCCAGGAGAGCTGGAGGTAGAACAAGTCCCAGTTTACTCCCATACTCGTCCATGAAGAAGTATTAGAAACCTTAACAAAAACCTGCAATTCAGAGGTCACTGACACCCAGCAGTCTCCTGAACACAGTGATAGTAGGACGCACACCCCCTTCCAGTAACCCACCACAGACTGGTACATTCTCCCACAAAGAACAATCCTTCCCTACTTCTAAGGGGGAGCAGTGAAAAGCACTGAAACTCTCATCTCAATTACCGAGCAGGGAAGGATTAACCGCTACCAAAGACTTTGCAGATATTTATTCTCCAAATCCACAAGAGGAGACAAGCAGAGGGAAAAGCTCCTCTGAGAGTTATGTACACAGACGGCAAGTCTAATGCTTACACAGTCTTAATTTTTTAATTTTTCAAGTCCTAACAACAATTTTCTTCATGAATTATAGACATAATATCTGAGAGATGCAGGCAGTAATTAATGCATGTCTGCCTTTTCTGACTAACTCCTTCTGCTGGGTCAGGGAGAGTTACTGAAATTCAGGAAGGAAATCTTCAATCTTCTGGAAGTTTTAAAGAAACAGACCAAGACACAATTTAATAAAGCAATAATATTTCTCTTAAATAATTAACTAGGTTTTGACATTCACCAATATTTCTGAGGCCCAGCTCTTACTTTTGCTATAACGCTGGAACAAGTGCACTCAGGGATGTGATCCACTGCAGGTCCCAAGTGTACTAAACTGCAAAATTGCTTCAAATAGCCTTTACCCCTGGATTTCTCTGCACACACACAGCTACCTTCACTCTTTTTCCTTAAAAGTCTCACTGAGACCCTTAACAGAAGCCATGCTATGCAGCACTTCCATACCTCCCTCTTCACATTTTGCCCTGCTGACATCTGTCTCCAGGTACGAGTGCTCAACTCCTCCCAAGCTCAAGAGAAGCAGTGTTTATGATCCTTTGGGAAAAACCTTGCTTTCACAGCAGAACCACAGCACAGTAATAGATGCAATAGACAATCCTAAACTAGACAGAAAGCTATTACTAAAGCAGCATATAGCACTGGATGTTAAGTGGGCCGTTTCCATCGTGTCTCAAAAAACAGATTCTCCTGCAGCATAAACAATGTTATTCACATAAAGAATGCACTCAAGAAAGCTTAATATACTCGAGTATATTGACAACAATTACCTTCAAAGCAACAACTACTTAGCCAGCCACTAAAAAAAACCCTCCACCCTTTGGCATGGACGTATCACCTGCTTAAGCAATATATAACTACACAACAAGAAGAACAGAACTCTACTTAAACTCAGAATCATAAGGATTATTCTGACGGCCACCAAACCGAAATACAGCCATGTTACCAAGAATAGAGAGGGTGTATTTGGCCAAAAAGTTCAGACTGAACCAAAAGCTTCACACCTCTGTTGTTCACTTGAACCACATCATCTCTACAGGAAAAAGTCCCTACCCAGTAGAAATAAAGTTTAAATGGAAATAATGGTCATCCCAGTTTCAGAAACTCACCAGATACAGTCTGTAAGCATCAATTCGTCGAATTGGCCCCCAGCACTTGTCCGTATCATTATACTTTGTGCCATCTCCAACACTGCAAGAATGGTTGCCAGTGGCACTGCTGGGAAAGGAGGGAGAAACAAAAGACAGTAATTAACTCCTAGCAGATGTCATCCCCTCTCCTGCATTCAAGAAAGAGAAATGGTCAGAGACCTGAAGTGTTCATTCCTCCCCCTCCCCCCCCTTACATTTTCTGGGCTGTGTAACACAGCAAGTCACTGAGTACCATATATTTGAAGGCAAATTCTTGAATTGTCTGCAGTTATTTACAAGCTGGTCATCAAGCTAGCAAGTTTGGGTCATATATAGATCATTGAGGTTTTCCATTTCCAAGTCAAGAGTCCAAATCCAGCCCAGCACAGTTTTGATCAAACAAATCTTTTTCGTTATCTGTTTCTTTGAGCAAGGAACTGGTTTCAGTCCAGAGCTAAGTCCATGTATGTCACCACTCACTGGTCACAGACTTAGTAAGCATCACACATCTCAGCTCTTACCAGAGACAGAGAAGCTAAAATATTGCACAGGGCATAGCAATCAAACTACTGAGCAACGAGTCCCACGTCTGCAAGGTGCTGAAGCTGGAAGTACTTCACACTTGAGGAGTCATCTGAAATCAGGTCAGCTACTTTTCAGGCAGGCAGCAGGCACTCGGATTGGGAATATAAAACAACTTCACCTTCCCACTCACAAACAATAAGCTGTCCTTGAATCATTTCTCCACTCCGTTCTTCAGAAAGTAGAGCTGATCCCAGACTTATCACACCATCAGATCCAAAAGCCTGCTCTCTTCTCTGCAAGCACACAACCCCATAGCAGTAAAGACACTTACCAGGTCACTTGCATGAGAGAGACCGGTACAGCTGCTGCATAGATTGCCAGGTCTCCATAGAGGTAGATAATTATGCAGAAATAGAAGAGGTTGACACCCACTGCAGGAAAAGAAAATATTGTACAGAGACAGCAGAGTACACAGGGACTTTTGAACTATGCACTTCAAATACACAAAGCTTTTTCAAGGTCTTAGAAATAAACCACCATTTGCCTCCACAGTTTAATTCTTTCTGCAGCAAACTCCACCCAAGGGTCACATCAGCAGCTTAGGGAACTTAGCCACAGCACAGCAACTGACAGGACAGGGGACGCCTCAGATCTCAGCTCTGCCTCCTTCAATACCTGACACGAGGCCCTCTAGTTCAAGCCCATCCTCCAGTTGCTGGTCAAGACCAACAGGTCTCACATAAGTCATCTGCCTGATGAAGCTGTCAACTTGTAGCAGCCACAGGCAAACATCTAGCTGATGCTCACGGACTTGGTGGGAGCACAGCTTGACAAACAGTGAAATGAAGAGAGAAGATGCTTTTAGTCCTCTGCCAATTCCAAACCCTTTGCCTGCAAACCTGCAGGCCTTTCATGTTAGGGATTTGGCGCTGCAGAGCTCAGGTTCCACAGGGCTGAAATGGAGCTGCTTTGGGAGATTCCTCACCATCAGCAACCTGAGCCAAGGTTCAAACCTGCAAAGCTTTAAAAGTCTGTTTCTGCAGCCCTCTTAACACCCCTACTGCCATAGTGTACGCTGTTCCTGCCTCATACTGTTTTCTTGGATAGGTTTTTTTTCTTTTTTATTTTTACAGCTTGCCTTGCTTTCACCTACGAGACTAAAAAAAGTCTTACACAAGTTAATTGGGTGCACAGAACAGCCTTACTGGGGCACAACAAGACACTGCTGTGGAGGGCTAAAATCTGCAGGGATAAAGAAATGCTTGATAAGACACCAGGATTCTTTTCTTCCAAGCAAGTTAGTATAAATCTTACCACGGAAAAACAAACTGGAACTTATTTTAGTTCAGACACTGGTGAGCTACAAAAAAAGCCTCAGATTTGTTTCATTTAGGAAACTGACACTGAAGGAAAACAGCTCAAGGAACCTGCCCGTACTTTCAAGTTGTGATGCCACCTAATGCTTAATCCTAATGCAGCTTGGGCAAATCAAGTCACCTCTCCAAGCCTCACACGTGACAACTATCAAACAAAGACAGCATTACTGCAGGAATGCGGACTAATATTTCTACAGTGCTCGCATGCCCCAAAGTTTTACCATGTTTTGCCATCATACTGCCCCTTGATCTCCAGATGTCAGGAAACATTAACAAGCATCCTCCTTCATTTAAATAAATTATTCAATATGCTGAGCCTCCTTAACATAAAACATTCCTAAAAAAAACAGCTGCACTGGGAAAGCAGCAAGAAAACTTCCCTGCTTCTGTAAAGCGGCATGCTAAGCCAGTACTCTAAAGCTGTTCCTGGTTTGTCTAAACAGACAAATGGAGATCTTACAGAAATTGTCAGATCACTTCATATAGTTCTCCCCTTGTCTTCTTCCTCTGTGAAAGATTTAAGATGGCTTCACAGTTGAGGAATCTCTGCATTGTTCTGAAGATGGCAACAAACTACCTACCAGTTTTCTCCAATTTCACATTAAAAAGGGTTGAAGGTTGTAACAAATACCTGACACAGGACAGAAGCTGCAAGACACACTAAGCACAGGACTACACAGACTCAGATATAGATTCTGTTTTGGGATTTGCTACTGATCCCCCACCCCCAAAAAACTAAGGCTAACATGACCAGCTAAGCCATAGCAGCACCACCAAGTACCCACCCACCAGCACACACTATATCCCCATTCCAGTGCCGACTTCTCTGTCTGTGGGAAGTCCAGGTGACACTCCTCTCCCAAACTCATCCTCTCGAAGGCAGGAAGACTTTAGCATCAGTTCTTTTATAAACTGCTGCTGACCCTCCCTGATCAATACTCTCATTACTAGACACAAAGCGAAGAAAAAAAAAAATCAATTACTTCCTGTGGGGAAACAGCATGATAGATGTGCCTAGAATCCATTATTGCAATAAATGACTGCTTGGTCCCAGAAGAAAGCACCCAACATTGCAAATTAAAAAAAAAAATATTAAAAACCCCAAGTTCTTCAGAGCCAGCTCTTTTGAAAGAGCACACAGGCCCTTCACAGCCTAAACCTAAGCCAGCTCCCTTTAAGAAAGCAGACAGTCTGAAATTGAGATTTATCCCCAGCTTACCTCCCAGGACTGCAGATTCAACTCCTGTCAGATTGTTGAAAATAAAAATCAGTCAAGAGAAAGGAGCAGAGAACTCGCTAGAAATCAGAAGCTTTGAGGTCTATTGCAAAGCTTTCACCAGCCTTCCCTCTGAAGGCTGTAAAGCCCTCAGACACCTTGCATTTGGATCCATGCTTTGTATATCATGAACAAAAACCCACCCAGACATTTGCTAGCTGTGAAACTGCAGAGGTTGGTGCTTGGAGCTGGGATTTCCCAAGTGTGGCCCAGTTTCTCAGCACTAGGCAGTAGCAACTGGTCACTGAGCAACTGCCCTTATTGAAGGCCTTTCTGTGCAACCATCAGAAGGAAGCACTTCAGCAAGTATCTACAGAGGGAGATACTTAACTTGTCTGCTCTCTGCAACCGCTCAGTGGAGCAGAGCATGTCTCTGAACTAGGACTCAGGAACAGTATAGGGATGGAGCCTGATTGCTGAGCACAGAGGAATGGAAAGCAGCAAACGAGTTACAGCTGCCCCAGACCCTTTGCTGGGTATACCTCACCTCATGTGGAAGGCACAATTGTTTCAAGCTATGGTCGAGCTATTCCAGCTGCCTTTGTGCAAAGGGATTCATCCCTTTGCATTGGGCTGAGCAGGTCCTGGGGAGGATTCCTAACACAGAAATCAGATATCTCTGGCTAAAGCAACACTAAGAAGAGGGATTAAGATTTAGAGTACTAAGCAGTTTATATCACTTTGCTAGAAGTGTATCTCAGCGTCTGAGGGGAGAGAGGACGTGTATTTCCAGCACCCTCTACTGGCTGAGCAGCAGCCAGCATCAAGGCAGAGAGGTCTTAGAAGGCAACTTTCCTCACTTTGGGGCGTCGTTACCATCTCCCCCGGTGAGGCACATGCAACGCAGGGGCCTTCTGGAGCTTCCTTATGGGAGCACTCCACCTCCTGTGATCCCCCAGCCCTCCTGCAGCTGAATCCACAGCAATACTGCTAAGCCCTGTTATATGGTGCTTGCTCTCAAAGCAATTTCCAAACATTCCTCCCCAGAGGATGATCGAGAGACAGGGAAGTGTTCACGGCGTTTTACAGATGGCAAATCATACAAGCAAGAAAACTTGCCGAATGTTAGAGCAACCCAGTGCTACAGGCAAGACTAGGAACGACATTTCTGAGTCTCCAACCCACACCTCTCCTCTGAGCAGGAAAGTGGCAGCCTGATCCAAGGTGGACTATTTTGATAGTCCTAAGTGATGTAAATCTACAAAGGCCCAGAGGAGGCAAGCTTTTTTCAACTGGACTTTAAAATCAGAAATAATATAGTTCAAAGAATCTTCACTGCTTAAGCCCAGCTATCCTTCAGAGGCAACAGTCTTACACCAGCATAAAGCTGATGTAATGTAGTGGAAAAAACCAGCCCATTGTGTCTTTGTAAGGTGGCCAGTGAACAAGAGAAAATGTCACTTTCCTCAAGAAATGGGGCCTGACAGGCTCAAAACTGCACAGCCATGGTGTCTGATGATTTTCTGGCTCTGCACAGCATTTCAAATGTACCATTTTACAAGTTTCAGAATACCTAACATCGTAGTTTGCATTTCTGTCACATGCAGCAACGGATACAGCTTTATTGCAGTACAGTTACAAGTTTGTTCCCTGGCATACAAGAGACATTTAAAAGCAAAAATACAAGACAGCTGCCTGTCATATGCACACCAGAGACTCTTTCAGCAGTTCATGTCCCAGCAGCAATCTTGGTGACTCCCCAGACACACACAATTCTCAGAAGCTCTCCCCAGAAGTCTCTCTCCTTCAGATTGATACTTATGGGGTTCAGGGAAGCCCAAACGTCTTATTCTCAAATGCTACAACCAAGATGGAACTAGTGAACACTACAGCTGGGCTCTATTGCTTTAGAGTGGAAATCACAGAGGATAGATGCAGTTCACAGTCAGGTTAAGGGCAGTCAGAAAAGGCACTGACTTACACTTACCTGTCTCAAGAAACTGGGCCCGTAACCTGCAGTATTTTGGCTAGTTCCACTACCACCACAGCACCCTCGCCTTCACGCAGGTTCTGGCCCATCTGACCCATAAATACTCTACTTTGTAGAAACACCACACATGGGAATGAATACAGTCCACAGAAAGAAGGAACGACACTTTTGGGTGGAATCATCACAAACTCAGGATGCAAACGCACACTGAGAAGCACACAAACTTAAGGAAAAGCCATACGCACAACGTGCAGGAGGACCTGAAGGGACTTTTGAAAGTGTGAATCACTTACCTTTATTGAAGAACATGGAAGCCATCTGGCCCATTTCCACCCTCTCAGTGATTTCAAAGATATTGGGTGAGCCACGTCTCTCTGCAAGTTGAACACAAGAAGTGTTTCAACCAGTCCCTTCAATAAACCAAGAGGCCAGAAGACACTATCTGAAGACACTCAGGAATCTCTAGCAACAGTTTGAAGGACAGTATGTACAACCCCACAGCTGCAGAGTCACTGGTCCAATTACTCTGCTGAAGCTAGTTTAAAAGTGTTTTGAAAATAAGATGTTCTCATCTTAGTGACCTAGAAGCAAAAGATCCTTATCAGACTGCAGATGGTAAACTGAATTCTCAATGAGTCTTATCTTGCAAGTGCTAAGGACTTTGGGATGCGAGCATGTGGACTTAAGGGTGAGATGGACATAAGAGTTCTGCTCCACTTGCTGGAGCCCACTGGGACACCATCTGCAGAGAAGAGGTCTTGGATCCAGTGAAAGCATGAACCAGGTACTTACGAACTGACAGGATAGGTCGTGTCTCTGCTCGCTCATAGCCATCTTGGAGGAGAACATCACTGTCAGATACTCCAGAGGAAGAATCCTCATCCTCGTCATCCTCCTGGAAGAAAAGACCAGACCACTGCTCCACTGCTGAGGTGTCTGCTACCCACAGTCCAGGCTGTGGCACCACCAGTGACATGGTCTCACTTCCAGAAACTCAAAGAAAGGTCCCAAACACAGGCGGGCAGGACATGCAAGCAAAGGCAATACCAGGGAGCCCTTGGCTCAGGATGCTGTGGAGAGCAGAAGAGGGCACCAGCAGAGCAGGCTGCATTGAGTGATAGGCTCTGCTGTCCTAGCCTAGGTCATGCACACAGCAACAGTATCCAATTCATGTAGTGATATGTGGCACAAGGAAGTTAGAAACTTCGTGCAGCTCTGCAGAGTTGCAGAACTGGTAGGAAAAAGAAATATCCAAACATATATAGTCTTAGCTGGTCAGAGCAGCCAGGTCTAGCTCCCAACTCCAACCCATAACATATAGGTAGGGATCTAAATCAGTGCAAACAATTACACCTCGCACTGATCCAGAAAAGCCACTAAAGCCAGGATCCAAAAAGCCACAAGTAAGTTTTACAGCAGGGACATACTTCAGGACTGTTCACTCCCTGGGATACAGACTGAATGACAGCAAGGACATACCAGCCTGTCCCAGTTAAATGACCTGAGATCAGCAAGGATTTATAGACCTCAGCACACTCCAAATGGCACCAATATATTGGCTGCCACCTCTCCACATTCACTGAGCAGTGCTTCCAGGCACGGAGAGCGCAACCAGTAAGAAATGTGAACAGCACAAGAGATTTTTCAAACCAGGAGCAGAAAATCCTGTCTTTAATGAGCAACTCCACGGGGAACTAACAGACATATTTTATATGGCAAAGTTAAGTACAGTAGAAATTTATTCCTTTAGAGTTACTAATGAGGCAAGGCAAAGATGGAGAGGAATCTCAGGCAAGTCCTACTGGATAAAAGGACAAGAGAAGATGGAAGATTAAGCCCCACACAAACCTTGCGTTTTTCCATTCTCTTCCATCGTAGCTGGGCATTTGCAGCAGCCATGGCTTCCACCACAAAGGTCGTAGTCATATAGCTAGAGTGAGAAATTCAATTGATATCAATAATAGTCAAGAACTGTCATTGAAGTGAGATGGAGAATTATTCCCATCTGTTTGTTTGCAGGAGCAAACAAACAAACGAGAAGAACCCTTTAACCAGCTACACACACACACACACTGTGTTTTTTGGCACAGTGTTTCATCTCAGTTTGCTGCTCCTTTCTGTTCTTGAGATTAAGGTGTTCAAGCAGACCACAAAATGCAGTAAAATATAACGTGCCTTCAGATATAAGAAGACACTTTAGATATCTGGAAGGCACCTTTCTAGCGTTTCTGTGGGTTGAAGGCGGCAAGAGGCCTTCCCCCTTTGTTAGAAAGCAAGCTTCCTTCCTCTTTTTAGGGCCTAGGATGAACACAGTACTATTCTGAAGCTTAACTATTAGGGCCTGTGGCAAAGGTACTATGGTCCCTTAAAGAATCTGTGTCTTCTTAGTTTAATCCAGTGCAGTTTTGGTAGGCAGGTTTGGTGTTTTGTGCTCTTCTGCTGACCTTGAAGAATTGCCTGCTGGTGCTGAGTTTCATACATTGAATTTATGCTTTTAAACTAATGTATCTAAAAGGAACTGCTTCCAAAGCTCCCAGTGACTGGTACTCCCACAGTTTACATTTTATCAAGCCTTTGCAGCATACAGCTTTGAGGTGGAGAACTTAAAAGCATTACTACAGTCAGTACTGACCATATAGTACCTCTATATAGCAGCACCTAATAGATCCGAAAAGGACTGCCTCCAAATCAAGGGCACATTCAGCCTGACAGCGCTGGTTACTGACAAGAAAGGAACTTCTAAATTCCATTCTTACAAGTGGCAGGAGGGGATTTTGTTTTATTTTATTTTAAAACCAAGCAAGAAACAAGCAGGGATTCACGGCCCGTCAGAAGATGGCAATTCTATTAATAACTACTTTGACATCAGTGCTGTATCAACAGCCTTCGGCTCCACCTGCTGCTCCAGCAGGGAGACATCTGGGCAGAAGCTCATGGCGAGCCAGAGTGAAAAATCATGAGACCAGCTCCAAGGTCTTGAACAGCAAAGGTGTGGGGGGGAATAAAATGGGCCCACTATACAGTAATTTGTTTTCCTGACACTCTTGCAGCTGCCCAGAGCATTGCCAAAAGCCAAGAGAAAGCTAACACAACAGGTCTGCATCACATCTGCAAGTCACAAAGCAGAGAAATGACCCCATGTCACCTGTGATCCGGTTAGTGTTTGGGGAACTGATCTGTGACAGAGGCAAGCATGGGATGTACCCACAGTGAGGAGAGTGGCAAAAAGGGAGCTGGGAGAAAGGTCCCAGAAGGCTCTGGACTGGAGAAAAAGTCTTTCCCATCAGTCAGGAAATGGGATGTAGCACCATATTGCAGGCAGTCAGAAAATGCATCCATCCAAATAAGGTCCACAGGCAACACAACTGCAGAGAGCAATGCTCAAGCAGCAGAGGGACAGGATCACTCAGAACGGCAACGAAAATCTCAGTACTGTCCTTACAGCACTACCCAACTGAACCCCCCAATCCCCTAAAGACACATACTCATGTCCTACCTCATAAATCCCAGGAACATTAGGAGAACAAGGCTGACGAGCCACCCTGCTGTCGCAAAGGCCTTCGGCATGGTTAGGGCTCCTGTTCCAACGATGAGGTTGAACATGTAAACCAGACCAACCTGCAATCATCCACATAATCCAACATGAGAGTTTGCAGCTGTGCCAGAGATCATCCAAGACACCTCACATACAAGCTGATTTAAATGGAGAGAGCCATCTTTAAGCAAGCAGGGTGGGAGCAAGCCCATGCTAGAAATAAATATAGGCGGGGACTGATAACCAAAGAGAACAAAGTGAGTGTCAGCACATTTCTGGAGAAACTGATATTCCTCTCCATTTTTCTAATTATTTTTAATATTTTTTTTCTTCTAACTTTTAAAGTTAGAAAGCATGTGAGCTTTTTGTTTGTTTGTTTTCAAATCCACTGCCTTCTACCAGAAGGGTCTACACTGTGGGTTGGGGTCTCTCCTTGTTTTCTGACGTGAACCTAAGTAGTTATGACTATATACATAAGTTACCTTTCAGAATCTCTTGTTCTTCTTTATTCATAGGTCAAGCAGGAAATACCCAAACAGAATTCCAATTCAAAGCCTGCTTGCCATTTTACCAATAAGCAGCTGAGCACATTCTGAAGAAGGGATTTTACTTCTGGAAGGGAAAGCATTTTATCCTCTCTGGCAATGAGCTTTTTTCTGCCCAGGGGCAAAAGATAACTGTGCACCTGGACAGGACTCCCCCCCAGACTATAAATTTAGCTGAACTCAAGATCAAAAACTGCTCCAAAGTGTTTTGGTTTTTTTTATATAGGTCAGAGTCTCTCCAGAGGACAGCCAGTAAAGAACTGTGTATGAGTACACTTTTCTGGGTGTGGAGCATTTAATATCGGGAGAACTATTCCCCAGAGACCCTGTGAACACTCCTGCCCTTCATTCATTGCCATACACACAGCAAATTCATCTTTTGACAAATCTCCCAGAACAACAACAACAAAAAAATCAGCCACTGCAGCTTGCAGGAAAGTTCTTTTAATTCAGCTGGCAGAGCTGTCATTCCCTGAGCACAACTCAAGTGCCCAGGGCCATGACTTACTCATCAGTGAAGGACTCTTGAAAAAAACACCTCAGGTGATTTTCCTTGACTTTGGTCAAGTAGACAGAGCTAAGACTGCTGCCCATGTGTTCAGTCTGGCTAGACATCTTCAGGGAAAGAGGAGGGAGTCATAGCCTTTGAGATTAGACTCTAGGAAATTCATGCAACACTAACACAACGATGTAAGAGCAGGTGACACTAATCCTTTAGGGTCCAAACGTCCCAGTTACTGTCTTGTTCTCTGTTTTCTCAGTTGTGACCTACTTCTGCAGCCTAATATCCAGTTCTTCTAAATTCAGTCATTAACATGGAGATGAAAGTTTTAAAGCATTTGAAAGCCAACACACAGATTGCAGGACTGGTTCTATATTTAGTGAGTTCACTCCAGGAAAAAAAAAAAGTTTGCAACGCGCTGTTTTTAAGGATTGACACTAAATAAACACTTGTGGCTATGAAAACCAGTATTTCCAGTAACACAGGAAAGCACTAATTGGCTCTGCAGTTTCACAGGACACCACATTACAAGGAAGAAACATCTTGGTTACTGCTTTTAAGTGAAGTGGTTTAAAACAAATTACTACAACATCTACAAATAAGTAAACTTTAAGCAATTCAGGGCAAAACATTATATAAAGTAAAAAAAGAGAAGCAAAGTGGGATAATTTCAATGTCACTATCCCCCCTGTTTATGCTGTCTTCATGTGACAATTTAAGTTGACAAAAACATTAACAAAATGCAAGAAAAGTGGGTAGCAGGATGCAAGAGCTGATATGGGGCATGAAGCTCTTTTTACCACTTTTAGAACCATACCTTAAGCAGATATTGTCCCTTTACATTATATAAAGTGATCTGCGATGTAAAAAAACCCCAACAACTACAAGTACTAAGCATTTTTAAGTACCTTTGACCTCCATCATCTCTTGAAACACTGAGGTTTTGCCCATGGGGAAGTAGGAAATGAAAACACAATGTTGAGGGAAGAGGATTTTGAAAAGACTTGCCAGCAAAACCACAAACAGCAGTACTTACATAAGGAGAGTAAAGCTCTCCTGTATCAGTAATGCCCCCAGCCATGTTGAAGATGGTGGGGAGGCTTCAAGCAAAGCGAGGAGGGTGTTTTCAAGAGGGTGTTTTCAACTTCTACTGCCTTTAACCTAGGGAAACATTATAAAGTTGCGTTAGCTTTGTTGGAAAGAAGAGGAACTCATGAGTCAGCTTTTGCACATTGGTCTTCTAATATTTGAACAAAAGAGGATTTCAGCAGGACCTCGCACTTCGGACAGATATACCCCACTCACCAGCACCACTTGGTTCAATTTGAAAAGTACTTGTACCTGTTAAACTAGTTTAAAAGTAACCAAAAAGCCCTGCCCTTTCACAGCATGTGATGACAAACTTCACCTTCCCCAAACAGCCAGAGGGGCCATTTCAGACACTAAAACCTCAAGAGGAAGAATGCCTGCCTCGAGGATGATCTCATACCGCTGTTTGTCATGCAGCTACTACTCTAAGTAAGCACGTGCCTCCTGCAAATGAAAGCAGCAAAAAACCAGCCTACAATCTCTCCTCATCATCTCAAGTATAGAAACAAGTAGACAAATGAAAATACTGGACCTATGAAAAACACCCCAAGATGTTTTGTTACACATACCAAGGTTTCCAAAGCATAAGTATTTGGGGAGCTTCACATTGTCTTCAAAAAACTACATGGGGAGGGGAGAACCCAAGCCTTCCAAAAGGTTTCGCAGTCAATAAACAATTAGCCATAGTTGAATTGAAGAGCTTTATCAAATTCCTCTTACTTCTCTAGATGCTCCTACGTAGCCACACCAACTGGGACAAATCATCAGCATGAACTTCACAAGCTAAGAGCACTACTAAAAAACACCAAACAGCTCATAAACTTACAGACACACGCTAGATGACAGGCAGCACAGCTCACTGTGGTCATAACTAGACCGGCTCTCAGAAGAAGAGGCCAAATATCTTTTACAGCAGACCTCGACTCCAGTCCCTGAAGCCAAGCTTAGCAAACCAAAAGAAAGCAGCAAGACCACGGGCCCGCTAACAGTCAAGACACCTCCGGGACACGGCTGGGGAAAGCGTGCTCATGCAGGGCACCCACCCCAGCCCGGGACAGGCCCTACCCCAGGGCCCGGAGCCTACCGAGGCCTCCAGAGCTGCCCGGCCCTGCCGCTTCCCGGCTCCCCCCGCGCCTGCCCCCCGGCTGGCAATGCTGCTCGCCCAACCTGCCCTCCCCGGGGAAACACCCCCCGCCCCACAGAAGCCCCCTACACCCCCGAGAGTCCCCTCCCCCCCGCCAGGGCCTTGTCGCTCCAGTTCGGCACTGCCCCACACCGGGACCCTCCCCAGGCCTCACCCCGCGCCCCCGCCTATGGGACCCCTTCCCCAGGCCTCACCCCACACTCTCCCTCACAGAAAAGCTCCCCAGAGCCCACCTATGAGCCCAGACCCACCCCCCTCACCTCGCACCGGGACCCCCGGTCCCTCACCGGCGGCGGCTCGTGCCGGCGGCCCCGCCTCCTTCATCGCGGGCCACTGACGGCGCACGCGCCGCCCAACGGCGACCTTCCGCGCACGTGACCGGCTCCCCGGGCGGGGGCGGGG